TTTCATATCAAGAATGATATTTTATGTTATGTTACTGAATGACTGTTTTCATTTATTTCCAACAGGTTCCCTTGGATTTGGAATGAATTCAAGAAACTCGGTTACGTCACTCAGTGGGGAGAAGATTTGTCAGGAGTCGGTACATTCCAATATAGGATGCTAGGATTTAATGAAACACCAACCGATCACAACTTACGGCCATTTTTCCTAGAAGGAGAAAATAATTACGAAAAATCAAATTGCTTTGGTGCTATCCCTTCTCATGTGCAAATAATAAATTGGGGAAAAGACATGTTTCTAATGTATAAAGATAAACCAAAGTTTTCATTTTTATTCCATTCCAAGTACAGCCATGGGTACACGTCAAAATTACAAGTAGCAGACGATGACTTGTTGGAATTCTTGCAATGGTTAGAAAAAGGCAGGTTTTTAGATGATACCATCTTGATTTTGATGGCAGATCATGGCGCACGATTTACTTCTGTAAGAGACACAGTTCAGGGAAAGCTAGAAGAACGCATGCCATTTTTCTCGTTCCGTTTCCCAAAGAAATTCATTGAAAAGTACCCAAAAGCCTACGCCAATGTGAAGAAAAACTCCAAAGTCCTCACAACCCCCTTTGATATTCACGAGACATTTATAGATATGATAAATCACACTGGCACTGGAGTTGCAGATATACGACGGAGAGGCGTTAGTCTCTTTAAAGAAATTCCTAAAAGTAGAACCTGTGCGCATGCCCAAATTGAAGCTCATTGGTGCACGTGCTTGAATTGGGAAAAGGTAGATGAAAATGTGAAAAAAGTAGATGAAAATGTGAAAAAAGCCATTGGCTCTGTAATAAGAAAATTAAATTCCATTATAGAGCCACAAAGCCACCTCTGTCATGAACTTGAGTTGGGAAATGTATCTCAAATTGTTCGTTATAGCGGGCCAAGTGAAACGCTCTTGAAATTCAAGCAGAGCGCTGATAATGACGGACGGCTGCCAGACTTATCGGATAATATTGCGATGTCCGAGATATTGTACCAAATTAATTTATCTACCAAGCCAGGGAACGGGCATTTCGAAGCAACTGTTCATCACGCAGTTCAGAGTGGCANTCGACTTGTCTTTGTAGGCTTTGTACTCTCTGCTCGCTAACATTGAGTTGTTCTCTTAGCACATTGTTCTCAGTTTCAAGAGCACTTACTTTCTCGTCCAGTTGGGTCATATTTTCATCGAGACTTTTAACCGAAATCTCAACTTGTTTGAGAGAATCTTTAAAGGTTTTTGTAATGGCGTCCAATTTATCTTCGAATTTTGCCAAACAATCACTGATAATGTCCCTGATTTCGGTATTGTCTGTAATGAGATATTTGTCGCCCTCTTTTTTCCTTGAGCTTTTATCCATATTGCTCTCTTTGATGTGGAGTTTGGCCAACGGTGTGTTTTCTGTACTGGATGATGAACTATGGGAAGTCCTTTGTCTTCCCCTTTTCATTGTTTCATTGGCGCGATTTTTAAACGCACGAAAAAATCACTTTTATCGTCACAGTACCGGGAATCCTGCCCTTTTCCGCTGTCATTTCACTTTATATTCATCCTCACACAGTCAGCCACAGTCCAACTACAACCGATCATATATAATTTAAGAATTTTGTCACCGTGGCCCCAGCTTGAGTGCTATACCGTCGCCATCTTGAATCAACTCTCTTTAAGTCTTATCGGCATATATATATATATATATATATATATATATATATATATATATATATATCGCCAAATCGGGTGTTTCACAGTGATATTTGTGGAGTACAAAATGTTAAAAAATGAAAAGACACCGCCAAATGTCGTCAAACGTTTATACAAGTAACGTTAGTAACTGTTTAAAACTCACATGTCAAGTAAAGGCATGCGTCTAACGTGTACTGTTTTGATCTTTTGTAACAATAGTGTATGTAAGAAGACAGAGGCGAAGTCTATCTTAAAAATGTAAAATAGGATGAAATTGACATTTTTTCCTATTAATTACACATACTCATTACACATTGTGAGGCGGGTATTACATGATTGCTATCTTCAGCCACGTCAAATAATGTAAGAGAAATGAAAAGCAGTTTTAACCAGCTTTACATTTTCTATGTTTTTTTTACTCTAAAACCCACATAGTATTTTTTTACATGTACGTGATCCATATCGCTTGTGTTAACAATTAAATTTTCTCTGTCCTCCAGGATTATGGTTCTGTGTCTTCCGAATTATGCTGGAGAGAACATATTATTGTCATTAGAACATATCTGAACTTCTATCTCTAAAATCTCTAAAACCTTTATCTCCATGGCTTCTTGGAATTGCAGCTTACCTGGTTCCTGCTTCGTTCACATGGTTTCTTATATCGCGCCCCAGAGGTGTCGATCTGGACAGTATAACCTGGCGGATCGAAGGATCGACTTGATGCTGGAAAGATAAAAATATACACTGGATATTATGGGAGGTTGCATACTACTACTATTATTACTACTACTACTTATTGAGCGTAAGTGGACGTTAAATGTGACAAATCTTTGCAGGGAAAATAAAAAGTACAACACTGCATAGTGACTCTCACACTCTCAGGCACGTCATACTGACATTAAAGTGGATTTTATCCAGACTGCCACCACCCCCACCCCCACAACCCCCCACCCCACCCCCAGTCAACAATCAACCTCCATTTTTACACTGATCATTCTTCTCTTTTTTTTCGTTCAGTCCATAAAACAATGCATTTTTAAATGATCTTGATTCCCCGCAAGATCTGTGATGGTAGGTTTTAGCATTTATAAATACACAGAAAACAATTGGCGAAAGTCGGTCATTATTTTCGCACGATACCTTAACGTACTGTTTTCTCTTTAAATATGTAATTCTGTAGATACGATATGTATAAAAACAGATTAATTTGCTAATATCCCTTGTATCTTAAAGTGCCGATTGCCACCTCTTTCTTTAGTCATGATTACATAGTGTTTGCAAGGAGGTGCAAACGCCCTCTCGGTGTTATATGTAAGAATCATCGTAATCACCTGTCTGACTCTGCTGCAGCTACAGTTACAAATTGTTTAGTAACATCTAGATTGGACTGCTGTAATTACATTTTATATAGTTGTCCAAAACACCAGATTAAAAGGCTGCAGCGTATTCGGAACATCTCAGCTAGATTATTAAGTAACCATATAACCTCTTCCTTTTTGACACTCGACATAATTTTGTGCATGTACAATTGTGGAAGGTACACTCCATGGGTTTAAATATCCCCCAAAACGCTTACTTTTGTCATCCGGTGCATCTTTTTATAAAACCTTACATATACCTTAAAATGATTAAACCCCTTGTACATTTTTTCTGGAGCATAGCTGCTGCTGATTTTTCCATTTGATCTTATAGGAAAATGTTCGCTGTTATATTGGCTGCTCAGTCATTTTAGGCTAAAATCAACATTGATAAAATTCATCATATGTAGAATCCAAGTGCAGATAGGGATAGATGAATGATTTCTGAGTACGAGGGGTTTGAGGGATAGATGAATGATTTGTGAGTACGAGGGATTTGAGGGATAGATGAATGATTTGTGAGTACGAGGGATTTGAGGGATAGATGAATGATTTGTGAGTACGAGGGGTTTGAGGGATAGATGAATGATTTGTGAGTACGAGGGATTTGAGGGATAGATGAATGATTTGTGAGTACGAGGGATTTGAGGGATAGATGAATGATTTGTGAGTACGAGGGGTTTGAGGGATAGATGAATGATTTGTGAGTACGAGGGATTTGAGGGATAGATGAATGATTTGTGAGTACGAGGGATTTGAGGGATAGATGAATGATTTGTGAGTACGAGGGGTTTGAGGGATAGATGAATGATTTGTGAGTACGAGGGATTTGAGGGATAGATGAATGATTTGTGAGTACGAGGGATTTGAGGGATAGATGAATGATTTGTGAGTACGAGGGGTTTGAGGGATAGATGAATGATTTGTGAGTACGAGGGATTTGAGGGATAGATGAATGATTTGTGAGTACGAGGGATTTGAGGGATAGATGAATGATTTGTGAGTACGAGGGATTTGAGGGATAGATGAATTATTTGTGAGTACGGGGGATTTGAGGGATAGATGAATGATTTGTGAGTACGATGGGTTTGCTTATTTCTCGCCATGCTCTAGCAATTACATTACATAAGTTTTTGGGTTGGGTTCTGTAATAGCTTTATAATTCATACATCTGGATAGCTTCATTAATAATATTGTAATATAATAATATTATTAATATTATATTGCGATGTAATACACACTGTCACCTGGACATTACAATATGCAATAACACTTCGATCGTCAAAAAATTTGGTTTTCAAGGCATTTATCGCAAAAGGGTGACAATGTATAATTTAACGTAAATATCGAGGCATACGTGCTCAAATCCAGAGTATTTGTATTTCACTGTCGCGTACATAACATCGCCAAGTATGTATATTTTTCTAGATACATTAATTACCTTTTGGAAAGAGCCGAATTAATAGACTTGTTTTCTAACGATTTATCTAAACTAAATCAACTCTGTACATCCTACCAGAAACGTTTAATTGAAAAAAAAAATTGCTGAGATATTTGTAAAAGAGGAAAACATATATAGCAAGAAGATGATAGAAATCTCTATACGATGATAGTTTACCAACTAATAGTAATATTTTCCTAATTCCCATCAGAAGCTTTGGACTGATGAAGGAAGAATAAAACACCAATCAACTTAAAATGCTAGTTGCCCTTCTCAAATTACTCTCCGTAACCCTCCTTTAATAAAATCAGGAACAGTGCTATATTATTATTATCATTAAAATATTGAAATGTTGAAAATAATTTTACAGAATGTGTTGTAGCTATTGTTTTACTTATTTCATGTAGCCAATGAATTTTTGCACTTTCTCCTGAGACAAAAAGCAACAAAACTTACCTGAAACAGTACAATTTCTCATATCCGTCAGAAGATTATCTGAATAACTACAAAGCCAACAAAAGGCATTTCTTGCGTAATAGTGCCACGACCACCACTGGACATGAGTGACTAAAATAGGTCCTGTCCAACAAAGTTCCTTGAGTTCCGGCTGGGTGTCTACGTGACACTGCAAAGCAGAGATGCCTCGGCCTGATACTGAAGCCATTGGCATTAGGCTATGTGGAATGCATGGTCTGCCGGGAATGTTGACTGGAGGGCGAAAGAACAAGCTACAACCATCAGTTGATCTTGCCTGCTCCACAATATCGTCTCCATCGATAATGTTGAAAATAATGTCAACGCCAAAAGATAAGGCTCTGTGACATGTGAAATAAAATTCCCATTGTTGGACATCAGATATACCGTGGCACATTGCACAGTGTTTGTTACGAAATGTTAAGTTTGTGGCCAAGTCCGACACAGGAACAATGCAGTCAGCTTCTCTTGTATTTCGTGGACCTTCGCATTTGGTACGAACGGCATCCTGGGGCCATTCATCTGGGCATGACGTCACCATCCAGAAATATTGGGGATTAAGTCCAGAAAAATAAGAGGTGGACTGCATGATGCATTCAATGTTGATTGAGTTTATGGGCATTTCCACCGATGAAGAACGCTTCTTACAGTAGTCAGTGGCACAACAATCTTGGAACAAATTGCAAAAGCTGTCACAGAAGCACCCACCTGTGTGAACTACGGTATTCTCTAAGCAAAATGATTTTGGCAAGTTAAAAGGAAGTGTAGTGTCATTCCAAAGAGTCACTGCTGACTCAGCAGGGGGTGGTGGTCTCGTAGTGAAAGTTGAGGTCGTGGAGTCGTCGTCTTCCCTGCTCGAGGCGAAGGGAAAAGTTGAGGTTGTTGCGTTCTGTGGGGAGTTCCTTTCATCGGTGGAGATTTCCTTTGTCACCAGTTCTTCCACATCGCCGTTGTCTACACTAGAAGAGGTTCCAGTGAAACTGGCTGCTGTTGAAGTAGGCTGGGAGTGTAGCGGCGGATTCTCTGGGCCATCAAACTGGGAAGAAATATCCGCTTCCGTTGAATAATGGCTACCTACACTAAGCGAGGTGGTGTCGTCGGGTTTGGGAAAGGTTTGGGTTCTCGTTACGCTGAGCCATGTCCGTGGACTGACT